TTTCAATGCCCGGAATCCGCCTCGTCACATTTGACATCCTACACACTCTAATAACTCCCCGTCATCCTATTCATGTCCAGTATTCTATGGCATTTGCTCCGTATCTAGGAAAACTAGATCCCGAGCAATTAAAGTATTCTTTCAAAATAGCACTCAAGGAGCTTCAACGCGAAAGGCCAGCGTATGCATACGAAAATGAAGCAGCCAGTGAACGGTGGTGGTCGGAGGTGATCAAAAAAACTGCATTAGGTGCTGGTGCAGCTCCCTCGGGTGAGTCAAAGAATTTTGTATTCCGTGCGTTTCGCACGTACAGTGGAGATGGAAGCAAGGCGGGTAGAAGCTTTTAATATTCTGCGATTTATTGCAATTTGTGATGAATTTCTGACCCCGCCTCGTGTAGCGGTCGATGCATCGCTGGAAAAGATCGTCCCTAACCTAATGAAGCGTTTCAGTTCCCGGGAAGGATATGCTGCGTTTGAGGATGCGCTCCCAACGAGTATATTCGTATTCGAGGTATTTACTCTACATACTAATGATAAGATTCTAGTCCGCCGACTACAGGAGCGAAAGATTTTTACCGCCATCGTGAGTAATTCCGATTCACGTAGCCGTAAGTACGAAAGAAAAAGTTTCTCCTGATGCTGACGGAGATTCGCGCAGGACTCGCACTCAAAGATCTAGGATTTCCCGAATATATGACGCCAATTGTTCTCAGCGAAGAGGAAGGTATTGAGAAACCAAACCAGGAGATATTCCAAAGGGCCCTGAACAAAGTGAACGAGATGCATAAAGTAGAGATTCAAAAACACGAATGCCTGCATGTGGGTGATGAGTTGGAATGGTGCGTCATTTGTTCCGCGAGTTTTGAGGGGAGAAGCTTATAGTCAAGCTCAAGTGATTACGAGGGTGCCGTCAACGCTGGAATGGAGGGACTGTTGGTCAGACGACCGGGTGCATTAGACAGCGTGGATTCGAGCGTGCGTATGATACAGAGTTTAGAAGAGATAGTAGAATATGTCTAAATGGAACTGCTGCGAGATCCAGCCCATTCCTCGCCCTCGATGGCTTTGCGACCCTGTGCAGCGACGTCTTCGACCTTGGAGCCAAGTTTGAGGACGGACCATCGGATGACGAGGGGGTCTTGTCGCATAATTTTGTTGAGAGATTGGAGAGTGCGGGGAGACGTGTCAAAGTGAAGTGTCCAGTAGCTAAAAGGAATTAGGCAAGGACTGAGGTCAAAGCAGGCACTTACTCGCCGAGACTGTGGTAGAGACCGTGTCGTTTCATGCGTTGGGGAAGTACGAGGGTGCCCCAAGAGTCTATTTTGCGGACGACGGCGCCATTGTCAAGAAGATGAGTGCATGTCTGGGTGACCAATTGCTTGATGTGTTTCTGGAAAGAGTCAGAAAAGGAAATGAAGAATAAAAGACACGGACATAGTTGGGGTTGTGTGCAGACACACACAGCATCTGATACAACGGCATCTAGCCACAAGTGAGTCGAGGTGGTAAGTAAGTAAAAAGGTGGAATGGTCACGTGTGGGTAAATCGCGATTGCTTTTTACTTTTTTGCTTCGAGTTCTTTACTATTAGTGGCGAATCTGTCTAGGTGATGTAAAGAGCGAGATAAAATGGAGAGCAAGATCCAGAACCGCGCGTCAGAGTCCCTCTTTCTTCACAATGCAAAAGTCCCGCAAAAACGACTTGCCTTTGTCTCCTCCTCTCACCCCTTCTTCGAGCATTCGCACACAAGCCAGCACCTCGGATGTCCACCACGATGTCCCCGAGAATCCCGTTAATCCCGGTGACCCAGTGCCCACCCGTTTTCTTCTCGTAGGAAACATCCTTTCGTCCGTCTCGCCCGACGTCCTCAACACTGCCATATTTGCCGCACTCACCCATTTTCCCGCTCGTCACGACGATGACGGGCCAGTCAAGGGTGTGTTTGTGCGCTGTCTCGAAAAAGGCTTTGTCATTCTTGCCTTTCATGACCTCAGAGACGCTATCGCCGCCAAAGACTTTCTCGCCACTCTTTGCGATGGTCCACTCAGCAAATTCATTGGCGACAAGAGTGCTCACTTTACTTCTCAGTTTGTACCTCAAGACAGTCTGGTTTCTGCAAGTCATGTGTTTGTCTCTCTTTTTTTTCGCTCATGCGTCTGTAGATGCTAGGCAACTCGGGCTTCCTCAAGTCTATGGACGCTTCGTTCTTCATCGCGGCAGAAGAACAATCCATACTCGAAGACGCTGTTGCGTCTCTCTCCATCAACGACAGAGAGCCAGATGCCGACGTCAAGCGTCCAATCAACGTTGCAATGCTAAAACGGTTCCTAGAGTCCCATGGCACTCTTCGCTCTTTCGAACCTGTAAAGTCCGACGTCCAAGTAAGTGCAACCACTCGTACCTAGTCTGCCATTCATCTTTGTCTTAGCCGCCTCGCTCTTTTTGCGTCGAATTTTTCGATATCCGTGATTCCGTCTCTGCGTATTCTGTTCTCTCCCAAGGTGCCAACGTCTTGGGCATGAAACTTCGAGTCTTTGGTCGCAACGACGAGTCGAACTCTACTTCTTCCGAGCAGTCTTCGTTCACAGTGGCCGGCCACCTTTCTCAAACGCGAGAGCGTTTTGTGCCTGTCGCCGACGCTCCCGAATCTCCCGCTATCGTCGAGACAGAAGATAAAGGAAAGACTCTATCGTTGAACACGGACCTCAGATCGAGATCGCCCACTTACTTCTACACTTCTACCACGACGCCGCCAGAAACTACTGTTCGGTCCGAAGAGCCCCAAAAGCCCGAGACCAAGCCAGCCGAGCCACCACAGACCCCTCGTGAACCACAGCAACTTCGTCCTCCACCAAACGCTTCCTATTATGCTCCCCAGATGGATGGCTTTATTTATCCGCCTCTCGAGGCCGCTCTGCACCCTTACTATGCATCTCCTGCAACTCCGCCCATCCCATACCATCCATCCAACTACTTTATCAATCATCCTCAGATAGCTCAACCAGTTTTCCCTCACGCTGGAAACAGCTTTGCTTACGATTACGATCCACATGCATGTCAACCCATGAACATGATGTCTCCTTGGGGCTTTGACCCGAGCATGGGTCTCGTCTATCCTCCCACCCCGGCCTATCCCGGTACTGAGTATTGGTGCCCTACGCCGACGGGAATACACAACGTAGCACCTTACATGCCCATGCCACCTCAGATGAACGGTCATGGACACCAACAACCATCTTGTTTTCCTCCGGTTCCTGTTCCAACCCCGGCCCCTGTCTTCTCACATCCCAGTCCTGCCGCTGCCCCAGTTCCCGGTCACACACCCTCTCCGCCTCATCCCCAGACTTCACTTCAACCTAGTCGTCCGTCGCAACTCCTTCCTAATCCCAACCCCAGCTCGGCTGCTAATGGAAACAGCAAGGAAATTTCCGAGAGAAATCAGCTCAATCTCGCCAAAATCGAGGACGGTCAGGATACGCGTACTACGGTTATGATCAAGAACATTCCCAACAAGATGTCCGATAAAGATTTAATCGCGTACATCAACAAGGTTGTTCCTAGGAGGATCGATTTCATTTACTTGAGGATGGATTTTTCCAATGGTTCATTCGGCTCTTCTCTTTTTCTTTCTCCTGTTGACTTTTTTTGCATAGGGTGTAACGTCGGCTACGCATTTGTCAACTTTATCACCGTGCAAGATCTTTTGACCTTTGCCAAAAAGCGTCTCGGTCAAAAATGGTACATCTCCTTCCTAATTTGTCTAACTGTAGCTTACCTTGATATTGCCAGGAACATGTTCTCGAGCGACAAAATTCTTCATCTCAGTTATGCGAATTATCAGTAAGCGTGTTCTATTGTCAGATTTTGCGATGGAATGCTGATTGTCGCTCTCCGATTGACCCCCTCCCTCTAATCGGTGCCATCTTCCGCGCGCGCGATCCATCAATTACAGAGGCAAAGAAGCGCTTGTTGAGAAGTTCAAAAATTCCTGCATCATGGATGAGCGCGAAGCGTGGCAACCCAAAATCTTCTACTCCGAACCTGGTCCCGAACAGGGTTTACCGGAACCGTTCCCTGCTGCGACCCATCAGAGGAGAAAGGAGAGAAGCTCTCATAACCGTGGTGCGTTGTATGTCCCCGGGACAGGCGGAGGTGTGGGGGGACACGCCCATGGAGGCTTGTTGCACCATACAAATTTCCAAAAGAGACATCACCATCACGGGCCTCAAGAGGAGCGTGCTGGCAAGGGTAAGCATCGCCGTGGAGTTGTCAGTCTGGACCAGACTTCGACGTCGACTTCGGCTTCTTCGCAGCCTCACAACAGTGCTAAGGCTGCCACACCTTGATTCTTGATCTCGGGCTTCCTTTTCAGGAGCCGAGGTCTCTCCTACGCTAAAAAGAGTTAATTTACTACTAGTCGTTCATTGTTACGTTTTCTGGTTTTTTTCTGATTTGCCTGCTTCCAGAATCTTCCCTCTGTTCTCTGTTGCTATCTTTTTTTTTTGCCTTGCTTTTCCACCTTCCTGCTTTCGGTGCTTTGTCTGTGTCGCTGCTATTGTAACGCTTTTCTCTTTTTGTTTGCCTAATGTACGTTCCTTTCTCCACGTGAACTTTGAAATCTTTTTTCGGCTGTGTTGTCTTTGTTGGTTTCTGCTGTCGCGCCTTTTCTTTGATTTATTCTCAACTTTGCATACTCAACACCTTAACTCCTTTTACGCACCTTACATGCACATGAACTCATTCATAAAATGTAGCTATGAAACCGTTGTGTTAGTCTTAGAATAAGAAAGAAACCATTGTGTATCACCTTTAGAGCTCATTTACATCGTACTTTTCGTCTTCAATCACATTCGTAGCCCGTTCTTTTTGCTTTCGAATGTACGAACCGGTACCGATTCAGGAACCGCTCTCGGATGTCCGAGGAGAGAGATTTTCCGAGTGTGGCAAGGCGGTTACCTTTTAAATGATGACCAAAGCATGGCTGAAGGCTAAACGTATGGGCACATGGTGTAGTTGGTTATCACATCCGCTTAGCACATCTGGGTGAATGCGGGGGGTGCTGGGTTCAATTCCCAGTGTGTCCATTAGTTTTGAGTCCAGCTTTGTACTTTTTAGCAACTTTTCAGGCTGAGTATCCCGACTGGACGCGACCGTGGTCGTGTTCGACAACATCACATGCTCGTTATTTTCAATTTCAAATCCCAGTTTTTGTTTCCGCTCTCTGGCACACCAAGTGACCAACAGATCTAGTCCCCCTGGCACTGTTCACTCGGTACTTGAATCTATGTCGGTCAATGAGCTCCTCCCAACCTTTGCATATGTTTTTATGTAGCAGTCTTAAAGCCCTCCAATCGCCGATTCCCAAACACATTCAGTTTTCTAAATGCATATCATCTTTCGATTCTATTCAAACGTGCCTTGGTGTTGATTTCCAACTTTTCGACTGCTCTCACATCTTGTCCTTTCTTATTCCCCGTCTTCTGGAACCGCGGATGCCTAGGCCTTCTTGTCGATGAGTCTGTTTCCTTTCCCTAATCACCGAAAACTCGCACCGGCCTACTCAGCTGGTTTCCTACCGTTCTGTACTTGCTGACTTAAAATAGATTGACATCAGGTCAGATGCCTGGTTGACCGGGAGTACGTGAACAGAACATCTATTTCAGGATAGTTTAGTCACCTTATGGACCGCTTTTTCGGTTAGTTCTCAACCTTTTCACCACCACCAGACCCCACACCCACACTTCCCCGCATTGGTACCTTTTCCTAATAATCAATAATGTTTTCCTGGAGGCTGGATGTCCAAAATACGCATTTCTCGTACCTGTTACCAATCACTGCCAGTTCGGTTTGTCCCTGACAGAATTCAGCGATATCTCAATGCGGTATGGCATCCCGAGTAAGATGATAAAACAGGCAAGGCAGGGATGCAAGTATGTATCAATTCAATGCCGCCGTAGCCGGGTTGCCTTCACACTATTAGATTTGCACGACAGGTATATAAAGCCTGCTTCTGACGTATACTTTTTCTTTTTGATCCCCCGTCCGACCGTCATCCGCACAAGTCTCCGGAGTCAAAATGGATGCCCCCAGTACTCTGAAACCTGCTGCCGTCGCAGTTTCCATGGTCGAGTATGCTGTGGCAAAGCATAGGGACCGCTTTGACAAGGTCTTCATTAAAGCTGTAGGTCCTTGTCATCCTTATCGCCGTGCCAAGTTGAGCCAAGGGTCATCTAATCTTTGAATGTCCTCGGCAGTTCCTCGCGGGTGTCATGCTTTCATTTGGTGGCCTGCTCTCTGAAATTATATCGGGAGGCGCGACTGGCCTCAACACCGCAAATCCAGGAATTGTGAAGATTTTGGGAGGGTTCGTATTCCCAGTGGGTTTGGTGATGTGAGTGAAGAATCTCTTATATATAACATGGAGTTTCGAAGTTTCGAGCTGACACTTGTGGGATGGCTAGGATCGTTTTGAATGGTTATGAACTGTTGACGAGTAACATGATGGTGAGAGGAATTGTTGCATTGATGCGCCGTTTCACTAATCGTTGGCCTCAGGTTTTCCCAATGGCTATCCTTAAAGGGGCAATTCCGTGGTGGAGTCTCCCAGTGAACTGGATCATCGGTATGTCATCGGACTTGAATCGGCTTGACATATGATGCATTGACCGTTCTTAGTGACATTCGGGAACCTTGTTGGTTCGCTATTCTTTGCAGCTATTCTAGTTCACTGTAAGTTTTCTATGCAAGTTTTATTCGTTTGCTCACTATACCCGTCTAGATTCTGGTATTGTATCCACCGAGCCATATATCACCTATATAAAAACCTTTGCTACGCATAAGGTATGATGTTCTGCCCGCGTCCGCAATTGGTTAGCTCACAAAACAAAACAACTCTACATCAAAAATAGGCTGCCGACCCTCAATGGCACCAGATCTTCTTACGTGGAATAGGTTGCAACTGGCTTGTTTGTATTGCGGTTTGGGTGCGTTTCGTTCTTTTTTACTTCGGAGATCCTTTTCTTACCGCGGGACACGGTGCGCAGCAAGCTGCAGGTGCTAAAGATACCATCTCAAAGGTGAGCACGTTCATAATGGCTTGAGCGGTATGAGTTCAAATTTTTTTAGATCTTTGCTATATGGATTCCGATTTGGATTTTCGTCGCCTGCGCGTTTGATCACGGTAAACGGCTTCTTCAAGACCGGGTAATGTTCCATTCTAACTCTATCTATGATAGTGGTCGCGAACATGTTCTCTGTACCATTGGGCATCATGTTTGGAGCTGATGTAAGTGTACCTCGTGGACTCAGCCTGAGATACTTGTTGAACTGACCTCTTTGCCAGCTTACCGTGGCAGAGTACATTCGAAAGTGCGTTCAATATTCCAGCTTAGAGAGCACCGATTTGACTCGTTATGTTCTTAGATCCTTGATAGCATCTTACATCGGCAACATTATTGGCGCCCTTTTCGTTGCACTTCCCGCAACGTACTTTTATCTCGGAGATTACGGAGCAGGAGGTATGCGCAAAGCAGAAAACGGTGAGAGGAGAGTAGAGGATAGTCGGGAAGGAAGCGAGGATAACGTTACTGACTCGAAGCTCTGAGCGTTGAAGGGCGCTTAGTACTGTATTTCCTAGTTTCAACACCCGCTTCATGGCTTTAGATATTGACGGCTCATGTATTCTACTTCAACGAGAACTCGGATGAAAATGCACTCCTAATTAAACAAAGCTCAAAGAACAGATATATGTACACAGGAATACGTTTAAGATGTTCGGTCTATCTTACAGAAGAAAAAGTTCATCGCTGTTCCCTGACTCTGAACCATACAACTCCGATAACACCCAATCCGAACCCGGCAATAAAACCAAACAAGATAAGCACATCCCTGTAATAGTTGTTCGTCCCAAACCCAAATAACTATTGCTCAAAGTAAGAAATCAAGGACAGATCAAGTAACGAAATTCTTACCAGTTGCATAATCAACGTCGCAGAGACATTCACTGGAACGCCTGACAAAGTATCTTGAATCATCAATCCACCTCCGACTTCATTCACCGACAACGCCTCTAAGCAGTATTTTAAGGGACATAACCATTGAAGCCACCTGAGTACGGGTGGAATATCGCTGAGATGGACAAAGAAGCCGGCATAGGTCATTTGGTAGAGAGCGCTAAGAGCAGAGAGAAGAATAGCGATCCCGCCGTTGAAGAACAAGGTGCCCAGTAGCAAATTCTGAGGATGTAGTTGCGGTGAACCATTGGAACAGTGATAGGCAATTACTTACGAAAAGAGTCATAGCTAACGTATACAGGACCAATATAAACAGGAATTTGAAGTAGTGAGCAGCATCCCCAGTAAGTCCGGCCATCCAGTACGTACTGTAAAACGTTTGTGAGCAAATCAAGTCTCTTGGTAAGGAAGAAACTCACATGGTAGAGACGATGATTGTTGGAATAATACGCAGGGGAATGACATCGAACAGGAAACGAGAGAGTAGCCAAGCGGTCGGACTAGAGAGGACTTCAATTAGCACAGGACGACGATCTGTGAGAGCTTACAGACCTATAATATGAACTTGACCGCTCCCTCATGAAAAGCGGTCGTATTTCCACAATGTTATACAATGCACTCAGTGACGAGAATGCTATAAGTGCACCCTGCGAAGCTGTATTAGCAGACGCGGAAAGCTTGAGACGCGAAAACTCACCAAGAAAAACAAGCATCCGACCCTTGATTGGAAGCCAGCTATAGTAATACCTGTCTGGAAATAGAGACCGCCACAAAAGACACCAAGAACTGAAGCAACGACAATATGAGTGATGAACAGTGTCTTGTCCCTATGTTGCCCACATCAACCGATGAATACAAAATCACGAAAATGATCTGACCTTGTAAGAATTTTCCATTCTCTGCCACATAGACATTCTAGTTGGGTTAGGAATGTCGTTGCATAGTTCCGGGAGCCGAATACAGCAGAGAACCAATTCCGTCTACCTGAAGTTCTTTGGGTACCCAAGTTTCCAAGTTGCGCAGTGTTCTCGCTCTCGCCCTTTTCTTGAACCATTGTACCGCTTCTGATGGATCTGAGCTCCGATCCAGAACCTTTATCACTCGTACGTTGTGAAGATAGCAAGGCCAAGGGTGGGTCACTTGCTACTTCTAGAAGATAATCGGCGACATTGTATCCTTGTGGATAAGCTGGGGCAACGTTGGGACCTGCTCTTGCAAAGTAATCTACAGGAGCAAAAGCTCCGGGGCCGGAATATAGAGAATGACCATGCGCAAGAACGAGGATTGTATCAAAGGTCTGGTAGAGCTGTGAGCTAAAAATCATTGAGTGAAAAAATTCACAATCAAATTATTAAGGCAGCACCTAGGTTGATGTATTGAGGCGATTACAGCGGTTGGTGTCTCTGCATCATGAGCTATCAAATGGAGTACGTTTGCTACTCTCGCAGCCGATACTGAATCAAGGCCTGAACGAGAGGATGCTGAGACATACTTTCAAACCGAAAAACTCAACACCTTACCAGAGGTGGGCTCATCAAGAATCAACACGTCCGGACTAGAGATGAGTTCTAGTCCAATACTGACCCTCCTCATCTCACCTCCTGATATACCTCGGGCCTTTCCTCCACTGTTATCGCCAATTCTCGTGTTACGCAAATGTGCTATTCCCAATTTTTCTAAAAGCGCATCAACTCTTGCCTGCTTCTCTACTTCTGGTATGCTTTCTGGCAAGCGTAGGTTGGCTGCAAACATCAGCGCCTCGTGGACTGTCAGCATAGCAGGAAGAATATCTTGCTGAGGCACGAATCCGATGCGAGGTTTTCGTGTCGTGAGAGACGAATGAGAAGGGAACGAAACGACGCCGGTGACAGTTCCGGCCTTGTGTTTGCCTGAAAGTATTTCGACGAGCGTCGTCTTTCCCGCACCTAAGAATTACCTTTAAGAAAATCAGGGGCAACGATAAAAGACAGTTTAATACCACTGGGTCCAAGAATAGCCATCATCTGCCCAGGTAGAACCAATCCACTGACATTATCCAGAATAACTTTATCGTTGCTGACATTCTTTCGATT